TTCAACGAATCCTCATGGAACTTTTGTAGGTATCTATGATGGCCATGGAGGTCCGGAAACTGCCCAATTCGTGAATGAACGTCTGTTTAAAAATGTCAAGAGTAAGTTGTTTTCCAATTCTCAAGGGGCCTGGGAGGCATAAGAATATCAACAAAATTATCTGTAGTGATTTTTTTGACTTAGTAGTTGTTCTTAATTTGCAGAATTTTCTTCAGAAAATCATGGAATGTCGGCTGATGTTATCAATAAAGCATTCTTGGCAACAGAAGAGGAATTTCTTTCTGTAGTAAGGAAGCAGTGGCAAATCAAGCCACAGCTAGCCTCTGTTGGATCCTGTTGTTTGACAGGCATAATATGTAGCGGGGTGCTCTATGTTGCGAATGCAGGAGACTCTAGAGCAGTGTTAGCCAGAACGGATGAGGCTACGAAAGAGATAAAAGCTATTCAGTTATCCTCTGAGCACAATGCTAGCTTCGAATCTGTCAGAGAGGAGTTGCGTTCTATGCATCCTGATGATCCACAGATTGTAGTTATGAAGCACCAAGTATGGCGCGTGAAGGGTCTGATACAGGTGAATTTAAGCTTTAATCATGCTGCCATTGCTATTGCCATTTCCACTCCATCTAGTTGATCTTTTTCACATTTCTACTTTGTTCTTATTTTGTGTTACTTTATAATGGCTCTGGTGCCTATAGTAATATAGTTGCATAATGCTCCTAAATTTCTTAAATTTTTAGGAGCATTATGGTTTCAAATCGTTTACAGCAGTCATTATGGTTTCAAATCTCTCTGAACTAATATTGTCTGAGTTAACAAAAGCTTCACTTTTGTATATGGTCTGCAAATAGGTAGAGAGCAACTCTAGTGTAGATTCGAGTTGACGGATTATTTATTTATTGTAGATTTCAAGATCCATTGGTGACGCCTATCTAAAGAAGGCAGAGTTTAACAAACCACCACTATTGCCGAAATTCAGGCTCTCTGAACCCTTTAAGAAGCCCATCCTTAAAGCCGAACCAGCAGTAACAGTTCAGAAACTCGAACCGGGAGATCAGTTTCTTATATTTGCATCGGATGGATTATGGGAGCACATGAACAATCAAGAAGCAGTTAACATTGTCCAGAGCTGTCCGCGCAATGTAGGACTTTTAATTCAGTTGTGTAATTACTTTTCATGGTTGATATGATTCCAATCTTGTAAATATGACTCTAATGCTGTCCATGTCTACAGGGAGTAGCAAGGAGACTCATCAAAACTGCACTTTGTGAAGCTGCTAAAAAGAGAGAGATGAGATACTCAGACTTGCAGAAGATTGAGAAAGGGGTGAGGAGACATTTCCACGACGACATCACAGTCATAGTTTTGTTTCTCGATTCCCAATTAATCGCCCGCGATACTTGGAGCAGCCCTATGGTTTCAGTCAGAGGAGGTGGTTATAGTGGTAGTGGTCTTATTGGTCTTGGTCTTGTAGATGGCTAGTTCATGAGTTTTTCTTTCATGTGTTGTGTATGTCAATTGAAGCCACCATCTATCAATATATATTTGTGTGCAAAAGGCTAATTTTTTCCCTTCTCTTTGTCTATAGATTCAAATCCAACAGAGAGATTCTTCTCTCATTCTTTTTCTTTTTCTTTTTCTTTTTTTCATTTTCCCTTTAGAATTTATTATCCATGAATAAATGGCACCATTGTCATTATAATAACTAGAACTTTTATTTGTCTTGAGAGTTCAGAAACTACATGTTGCACCAGGCTTCTTTTAGGTATAATT